TACTGAGTTTTTTTCTTTCCTCTCCTCTTTTGAATTTTTTTAGGAAAGAAATTTGGTTTCTTTGTTCTCTCATTCGTCATGATTAGTTAAAAAATGTTGACTATGAGTATGTTACAAGAAAGCATGCTTTTGTAAACGACATCTGGGGTTGTTTAATACAGGCTGACTGGATTATCCCAGACAACCGGCCCCCAGATGACTGGCCTGATGCTGGAAACATTGTCGTTGAGGACTTTGACTTGAAATACAGAGAAGGATTACCTCTGGTATTAAAACAGATCAACTGCGATATTAAACCAGGAGAAAAGGTATTTCATTCTACGTATTCCTTACTTCATTACTTTTTCGAAGGAGAAGCACAGTTTTTCTTAACTGACCCATTGTGGTCAATTTCTTTTAGGATAATTTGGTTTTATCAACTGACTTAATAATGTAAACTGGCAGTCTGCAGCTTTTCTTCACGTGTAGGCAGTTCAGGGAGCCGCAAAACTCTAGAAAAAATTATCTTTCAAATCGGCACTCTTAATCACCATTGTATCAGCGAACGCTTTTCATTGAACTAATTTGTTCTTGTTTTCACGTCACCATGTTCCACTGAAAGCGTAGCTCCATTTTTGCTGGTTGTGAAACAAATGTAACTGACATTTCCTCTGTTCGCTCCGACCACCACCGACACAGCACCACAGTTTGTTTAGAAATTTGTCACCATTATCAAAAATTCTTTTTTAGATTGGTATCGTGGGTCGCACGGGAGCTGGCAAGTCAACTCTTACCTTAGCACTGTTTCGTATTCTGGAGAGAGCTGGTGGACGGATTCTTATTGATGGAATTGATATCTCCAAGATTGGACTGCAGGATTTGCGGTCACGACTCACCATCATCCCCCAAGTAATGAAGCGCATCTTAAGAATTGAAACGTAGAGAGAGTTTGAATGATCAATGTTTATAATGCTCTTGGCCTACTAAAAAACAAATCGGAAGATATAACTCAAAATCATCCCGTCTGTATTTTTGGGTACAGCATGAGGGCTGAGTTTACAGCCGGTGTTTGGTCACTTTTACATATTAACTGCAAAAAGTTTCTGATATCTATTTAACCCCCCGTATACTGCAAAAAGCACGTAATCTATGATTCCAGTCTTTCCTACACTGAAAGCAGCCCTAAAGAGTATTGAGGGGAACAAGAAAAACGCATTCCAATTTGAAATTTACATCTATATTTGCATTGACGCGGACTATTAACAGTCGCACTGTCTGCTTTCGTTTTTGTGCTAAGGATCCCGTGTTGTTTTCCGGGACTCTTCGTCTAAACCTGGATCCATTTGACAGCCACACGGACGAAGAATTGTGGAAAATCCTCGAATTGAGCCATTTGAAGAACTTCGTCTCGGGCTTGGAAGAAGGGCTTCTCTATCCTGTCAGTGAGGAAGGAAGTAACCTAAGGTAGAACAGAGATATATTTACAGCAGCATCACCATGATAAGGTTTTCCGAGGGAATGTTAATGAAGAAAAAATATTAGGTTTTTCCTACTTTTAAAACAGATAAACACAAATAGGGCTAAAATTTGATTTCGCGGTTGCCTCGGCTACCCGGCGAGCAGACCCCATTATTAGCGCAGGACACGCGTTTCTCCACCGGCGAGAAGATTGGAGACGAGTCGGGAGAGGTTTGGCGGGGGTCTGGTACAAATGATTATTAGTGCCAGACCACTAGTAGACCTCTCGCCGGTTCGTTAGACTCAAAAACGCACACTTTCTCGTGGGCTAAGAAACGTTCGTGTCGCAGCGCTAATAATGAAGGGCCTGCCAGCACTCTATGCCTCGACAAATGTCATCGAGAACTTTTTTCTTGCTGATATACACGGCGAACAATTTTGGATGACCAACGCACTTGCCTGGGGGCACTTGGTGGTGTGAATGTGGTTTTATCGAAGGAGATGTCTGTCTGCATGTCTCGTTCGCGTTTGTGTCGACTTTTTCTCTCAGCTTTGGTCCTTTAATGCCACTGAAGTATAATCTGCATCTTTACTCTTTGATGCTTTTAACAGTGTTGGTCAACGGCAGTTGGTGTGTTTAGCACGTGCCCTGCTTCGTAAAAGCAAAGTTCTGGTCTTGGACGAAGCCACGGCTGCAGTGGACTTGGAAACTGATGACCTCATTCAGCAAACGATTAGGCGTGAGTTCGCTGACCGTACAGTGTTCACCATTGCTCACAGGCTCAACACCATTATGGATTATACCAGGTTTGTAATACTCATGAGGTAACAGGAACATAAGATTGATGTTTCCTCAGTTTTCGTTTGCTATGTTTTTAAGTTTTATCATATAAGGGACAAAATTACTGAATTGTGATTGGTCAGGACAGAGGGCATTTTTTCTTAATTTTTGTAATTGCCCGCCNAAAAAAAAAAATAGAATTAGAACTACGTTCGTAATTCTTGGACAATTTCGGCGATGGAAACGCAAAAAGCGGCAGAAGATAGCCAAAACAAAGAAAACAGAAACGACTCTCGTGAGTTTGTTGCGCTACAAACACATTTGGCTTTCTTTCCTGGCTCTCGAAGTAAACAAGTCATTTTTAATTCTTAATAAAGCGAAATCTTTTTGCAATATAATAAATCCTTTATCAGCCAAGCTTTTCCGGTCAAGATGGCTCGTTCTTTTTTCGCATTTTTATAGACCTGGACTTCGTCTCGGTCCATAAAAATGCAGAAAAAGAACGCGGCCAATATCCAGCCATCTTAACCTCGCGCTTGGTTAATAACGCATCCGTATTATACAAGGTAATTAGCTCTGGCCTGAGAGCAGAAAACTCCGTGATCACAGCCGGCAACTAGTAATGAGAATTATCTAACGAAAACAGCGCGATTGCATTGCTAACGAGAAATAACTAGCTACCAGCGCTGCGTAATTCTTACATTGCCACGCAAAAGCGCGACTTTAAATTGTATAGAAATAGAACAAAGTAGGAAGGAAAACAATATAAAATCATCTCGCAGTTTCCTGACAATAAAATGATTTTACATTCTCTTGTAAACTGCAACTATTAAACGAGACAAAGCAGCCTGTAATTTAGTTTGTCAATTTGTTTCTAACACGCCCTGTCTTTCAATCGCCTTCGCTGAACCACACGGTGTGTAGCATTACTGAGAATCAAACTAAAAGGCACTCCGTAAAGACAGTCGCCCACTAATAAATGTCGACTACAGGACTGCCATTTTTATTATTATAAGATTATTCATGTTTCCCACACTGCAAACAGATAAAAAGGGATTTTTAAGTTCCAGTCATTCGAGTGCCGCTTTGGTTTGCGATTCAAATACTTCTAATCAGTAAGAAGTAAAATTTTACCACATCAGCACTTCCCCTACTTATTTTTCCTACAGCATTATTCCATTCATTTATAAGTATTCGTTAACCTATATTACAAATGTAATTACTCTTTGGATCTTCTACAGAATATACGTCCATTTTTTTATCATACCCTTTATGTGACATTGATCTGAAGGCTTTAGACCATCTACATTTACAGCTTCCTTAATTGATTAGTTCACACGCGTTATATTCAAAATGACATTTTTGCTAAAGAACTTTGAGTGATCAATATAAGTTAATCACTTTCAATTAATGTGCAGTTTCTGCTTACTTTAAACGTTTTACAGGAATCAAATTGAATAAAAGTGCTGTAAGGACATGAATTGACTGGCCAGGGAAGTTCTGAGCAGACCCATGAAGCCAATTATCTGTATTGTTGTATAGAACCCACACGAGGTGTGAATTTTCGCACGGATTATTTAACACCTCATCTACACATTTTTCTGCACCTTTCAGGAAACGGATCCATATCATTACTGTCGCTGCAGTCACCGTATTATGCTTATTAAGATAAGACAAGCGAATATAACCCTTATTCCAGTCAACAACAACCTGACTCGAGAACGCTTCTTCCAACACTCAAGGTAAGCGGCTGTAGTTTCGAGAGTTTCGTCACGGAAACCAAGTGGACACCAAATTATCAAACGGGAACTTCGCTTCAGTTCTTTCGAGTAGTTACCAACTAACAATTTTAACACCTTACATCAACGCACGTGTTAGCCTAACTCCACATCGGAGTGTTAAGTGCAGACTAATGCAGATTTCAACTGCTCTCCTTTCAGCACAAAATGTTCTTTTAATTTTCTCTCATTTTGACATAACTATTGGTGGTATCAGTAGGTTTATTAAACACTGATAAGCTATTTATATAAGATTTTTGGTTCTGTCCTGGTGTACCGGTTCACAAGGGAATTACCATTGTTCTTTCTTTGTTTAGGAGTTATCGGTTAGCTATTGTGTATTGTTTGGTCTTTTGTATTGGCTCTTGTGAACCGGTACACGAGGACAGAACCAGATTTTTTCACACGTTTGTCAATTTGCCAGAATTTCTCTGCCAAGTCAGTTTATACCATGGGAACCATTTGCTAGATTCTCAAGAGTTTGATATTTTGTCACACACGTTAGAAATAACCGTTAAGGGAATTAATCTTGGTAATACACTTAAGCATATTACTGAGCCTTGCTCTTGTTTGTCCTCTGTGGGATTGAGGAACTATAACGATGATTGATTTAGTACTTCTAGTAAAAGGCCATTTTACAGTTGTTTACTTAGTTGGCAAGCTTGAGTTAGAATGAGGCTGAAGGTGACCTTGTTGTGATGGAGACCAGTATCTAGTTAGCACGATATAAATGTAATTTACATTTGAAAAGCACCCACGTATGTATCATTACTATCGTATAAAGCCTTGGCAACCAAGCACGGAACTGTAAAAATGACTATTCATTCTAGTGCTGAGGGGCTTCACTAAAATGCACAGCAATTGCGTGACAAACGCGATTGAACCTTGATACCAGTAGCACAATAGCATACATCAGAGTTAATAATATATTAAAAATGTCGGTCGCAAAACCCCGGTAACATTACTGGAAGCTCGTATCGAGCTGTTCGTTCAGGCGTTTTGGAAAACATAAATCATGATCCATTTGAATGATAACAATCTGAGGGAGAAAAACTAGCGTCTCACGCATCGTACTGACCTGAGGTTTGTGGCAAACTGATTACTTTCGTGCCAGTTTCGTTTGAATATTCAGTAGCGCTGACAAAACATATGTATCGTCTTTGTTGCGATAACCGAGTAAGGGTTTTTCTCTTAAATTATTTCGATTTCACACAGGAAAAGCATGATCAGGATAAGATGGCTGTGACAGATAAGCTTCGAAACCTCGTGTTGAGACGTTGATCACGAATGCGAGGTAGAGTTTAAGGGCTACGTATGAAGGCGGTCAAATTGTGGGTGGTAAATTGTCTACAAGTAGTTTTCGTCATCTGTCCTATTACAAAACATATTCATTATAAAAGTAGCTTAACCCACTTAAAACAAAACGTTCGTTAAAAGGGCGAGGGAAAATTTACCTTTTCCTCAAATCCTCGTGGACTTCACACAAGGTCGAGGAGTATATTCAGTACAGGACTTTTAGACAATACGGTGACATTTTTCGCCGGAAAATGATTTCACAATTCATCGACGTTTTATTTAGTAGTACGTGAGTCATTTTTCACGCTTTTTTGTTAATATCATGGTGTTGTAGGCTCTTGGAAGAACTTAGAATAGACAATACGGTTGACTTAATTGTGACATAACGTTTGACGTGACGTTGCGTGACGAGACACAACAATCAAAAGTACATCGATAGACAGATAAGGCGGTTTTTTTTTTCTTAGGGATCGTGATTTGATTCTTTTTCATTCGTGAATCGTTATTAAGGATGATAAGATCTTCTATGTTCACGGCAACTAATTTTTTTATATAAAAACGTGTCTCGTGAATAAAGAGCTGAATTAAACGCGATTCGCGAGCCCATTTTGTTTTGCACGAGGAATTCCCGGCTTTTTTAATGATTTTGAAAATGTACGTATTTTTCTCGAACGGTTGGACTTAGGTTTTGACGTGGGTTCTAACAGGACCTGGACTACATATGATCGAGGAGAATGCATCAGAATGTATCAGGATGCAATGTGTACATTAAGGCAAATCAAGACTTCTTTTCACATCTTTAGGCGAAAATGACGGAAATATCGTCCAATTCGAATCATGAAAACAACTTCAGTGTCAACTGGGAACCAGATCATACAAACGAGACAAGAAAGAGGGTGAGGAGGTCAATTGAATCATTCTTTACTTTAGAGCAGTTTTCAATTGGGGATCGAAAAGACCAGCCTGGGTTGCTTTGTTTTTGCGGTACGTCGTTGTGTGATTAGTCTAGAAAACTCGCGCCACCATTTCAACCAATCAAATGCAAGAACTAAAACCAGTCCCAGTGACTTGGTCACTCGCGTTCTTTCGCGCTTCAAGCGGGTTACTTTTTTTAATCTGATTTCCCAGTGGCTAATGTCGAAGTAAAGTTTTGTTTTGATTAGTGCAGGGGCGGATCCAGGATTTTTTTGAGGAGGGTGCACCACTAAAGAATGGTGTAACTGACTGGTGACCACAACGTCTGCTCGGACCATTAGAAGGGCTAATGCTCCAAACTTCAGTGCCATACTACCATTTTTACGCCGTTTAACATAAATTCTTCAACCTCGTCTCTTGCTCTACTTCAACACCAATAAACCACATAGTTTTGTTTTGTTTTTTTGGAGAATACCACTTGTATTAGAAAGCCGCAGGTCATCTCAGGGGGGGAGGGGTGTACACCCCTGTACCCTCCCCTAAATCCGCCCCTGCAGGGGTTGTGGGGAATTTGGTTTTGGTTTTTCGACACTCAATTTAAAGCTGATTTATCATTAAATCTTGTAAAACAGCGCATGAGTTTGACTTAATTTGTCGTGCATTTTATAAGTTATACCAAAAGTGGCAAAAAGTTAGCGAGATTTAGGGCTCTTATGTCAACACAGAGTTTCCTTCAAAAATATTTATCCTGTTCTATCGTTTTCCTGCTCTCTTTTTAGATTTCCTGTCCCGAAGATAAAGCAACATGCCTTTCAAGAATCACGTTTTGGTGGTTGAACTGGTAACCGAAATTGCTAACTAACTTACCTTTAAATACTGAGATAGATGTGGGGTCACGATGCGTGTTATATACCCGTCGGACAAATATAGAAGGGAAAGTTAGTAAAAATTCTAACATAGACACTTTTTTCTGCCATAAACTAACATCAAGCAGAATGATCGAATTGAAACCGAATTTGCTGGAACCCTCCTGTTTCGTAGTAAATGCGTTGAACTGAGTTTTTAGAGAAAGACACTCAATTTTCACGTATATTATTAACTTCTTTACCATGGCTGCCTGGTATTTTACGTGTTTAGGCAAACAAAGGAACATTTCTAACTGCAGGATACTGGGAAGCAATGGAACGGTGCCAACTCGATTCTATTTAACAAACTAACAAGAGGGAAAAATTACTATATTTTGGAAGTAGGTATCAGCAAGGCGGAGGAAGAGCAAGAAATACTTCCGTTTGCTTGAACTTCTGAATCATAGAAAGTTATTTCTTATTCTCTTTCCACAGGATAATTTTTACCGGATACAAAAGGCCTCTCGAGGACAAGGACCTCTGGGCACTAAATTGGAAGAGCAGAGCTTCATACATTGTTCCTAAAGTGAGATCCATTTGGAATCACGAACAAAGAAAATGCAACAGGTAGGTTCATTAGCAAGTTTGTTTGACGCCCGCTTCTCACTTCTTTTACGGAGGCAATGTTTGCCATAATTTTTATTTTTCTGACCAGCATCACAGAGGCGGACGCCAAGTGGTTAGTGTATTAGATACAAAAACCCCAATATAGATCTCATCTATTTACTATTCTTAACAGGAAGAAAAAACTCCTGGTTGAAGATGCTTGTGGCTTTGAGCCCAGTGAAACTGATTCATTACTTGATAGAAATCGAAAGAAGACCAAATCACTAAGCAACAAGAGAAAACCTTCACTTTTGAAGGTTTTAGTCAAGATGTACGGATGGAAATTTCTTCTAGCCGCTATCTTTAAACTGTTCCACGACTGCTTTTTGTTTGTACAACCTCAGTTATTAAGGTAAGCATACATAAGTTGAGAAAAAAAAAAAACACGGTATAAACTTCTGCATAGGCCAATTTCAAAGCCCGCTAGTGATTGGTGTCTGTTCAAAATCGACTTTTTTTTTAACGCTTTCAATTATTAATTCGTGTTTGTTTGTCCTTAACATCGCCCGCCTAGATTAGCTCGCTATTTGTAGGCGGTGTTCATTGTAAGTAATTGTTTTGGAAGGCCTAATAAACTTGGAAACTTGAAACTTGTTCTTCCTCGGTAGAATACTTTGAAATACCACTACCCGGCTAATCGTTGCTTTTACCAAAACACCTTAAACACATAGATATGAATATAATAACACACAAATATATTTACAACGTATATTCTCCATATTGTGCTGTATACATTCGTATGCCGACAAGGAGAAGGAAAGTTACTTTAAAAATCAAGGACTCTCAAGTTTACGATCATTTCCGAATTTTCCAAAATCTAACCCTTCGCACTTTGGGCTTGAAAATTCAAAACAATGATGTAAAGGAGTGATATCGCTTTGCGTTGGAAGAAACACTTCTATGTTCGTCTCTTTCTTTAGAATGCTTATTGAATACATAGAAGACAAGTCCTCTTCTGAGAAAATATGGATTGGCTACGTATACGCTGGGTCCATGTTTGTGTCAGCAACATTGCAGTCCCTCGTCCTTCAGCAGTATTTCCATATAATGGTCACACTTGGTATGAAAATTCGTTCAGCTGTTACTGGTCTAATATATGAAAAGGTGAGCTGCTTAGTCGAACAACTCATTTCTAGTACATTCGGCTGCTATTTTGTTTCCATATACTAAGTTAGAATGGAAAAAAAGGAGGCATGAAAAGTGCAAGCATGAATTACTTGATAAATTACCCATCAACGATTGAATCACTAACAACCTAAATTTATGAGGTTATTTCGAGTCACAACGTAATTTTTCGTAATTATTTATATAGTTCTCCCCCTGACACTAGGAACATGTATAATAATTATTATTATCAAGGATTACCGATTTTCAGTGAATTGACGTTAAGGAAGTTGAACACCACACGAATTCTTCGCAGTTGTTTTGCAAAACCTTAAAACATCCTTCTACTACTCTTCTTATGAACGATTGATTTGCCACTAACATCATTTAATCAGGCGCTGGTGCTCTGCAACGAATCACGGTCGAAATCAACAGCTGGAGAAATTGTGAACCTGATGTCAGTGGACGCACAACGGCTGATGGATGTGATGACATATCTTAACATGATATGGTCTGGGCCCTTCCAAGTTGGAGTGTCTTTGTATTTTCTTCATCAAACCATGGGCTGGCCGATTTACGCTGGCCTAGGTGTGATGGTAATTTTCACTCCAGTTAATTTCTTGGTCGGAAGAGTGGTGAAGAAGTTGCAGGTATTCAACGTCCTGATTTGTATGTGTTGAATAGTTTGTCTCACTTTTTGCGATGTCCGTGTAATATTGATCTAAAAAAAAAAAACAAAATTAACAGGGCATCCCTGAGAAAAAGGAAGTTCTCAGTTTGGTTACAAGAAGAATTTCTACAGTTTTAACTACACCATCATCCTGTTAATAGGGAAGTTCAATAATTGTCACTATCTTTCGGAATTCTTATGAAAGACTTCTCCTTTACGATCAGGTTAAGCAAATGTCAGAAAAGGATGGAAGAATAAAGATAATTAACGAAGTTCTCAATGGAATCAAGGTACACGTTACAGTATCTTAAACAGGATATTTGCGGAGTAAAATAGAAAGCAGAACTCGTTACTTTATAGGTAATCACATGATTTCGAGTGCAATTTGAAATAAATAAGCTCGAGTACATTTTTTCAAAGACTATCAAAATTGCATGAGCCCGTAGAGTGAGTGCAATTTGTGGTCTTTGAAAAAATTTGCAAGTGCTTATTTATTCCAAATTGCACGAGAAAATCATGTGATTATCTATTAATAATATACATGAAAAAATGCGAGGTAGCTTCTCATAACTACGCAGAAGAAAAGCGCGCGCATCACGTGCAAAAATAAGTTATTCAAACTCTGCAAGTGACATTGACCTTGACATTGACATTAACCAATCATTCTGACCAATCAGAATGTCTGGTTCGTTTCTTCCTTTGCACTGAATTAACCCTCTTCTGCAATGAATTAACTCTCTTCTGCACTGAATTAACTGAAAACTGCATTTATCTTAACCAATCAGAACTGAGAAATGTTTTCATGTATATTATTAGGTCAAAAATAGTAACAATACTAATAATGATACTCATGCTGAGCTTGAGCCGTAGAGAGAGATTGGAGTCTTGTATAAAGTATAGTAATATACCTTGTACTGTTTACCGTCATTTTCTAAAAAAGGTTATAAGTTAGGATTCATTTGGACTATAATTGACAAAAAAAATTTTCTTTTCCAGGTTCTAAAGCTTTATGCTTGGGAAGAATCTTTCTTGTCAATTATTAGCAGCAAGCGAGACAAGGAACTCTCGTTTCTTCTGAAGTCTCAAATCTGGAAAGTTTTTCTGAATTTTATTTACAATAGCATGCCTGTCATGGTAAGTTCACGGTAGCAAATTTGAGAAGTTTATTACAAGAATGGTGAATATAGCGTTTACAAAGTGAACAAAAAACCCAAAATGAGAAAATCAAAGCACGTACTGCCCGATACATTAAACTATCGCAAAATGTGTACCTTTCCTTTGATGGCGAAAATCCCCTACAAAAGACAGCACAGTAAATTTTTTGCGTTAAATTTCGTACCATTTGTATTCTATCTGTCACTCTATTCCATTTCACTTTGAATAGTTTCAGTCCAGTTATCTGCATTTCATCTCATTTCTGAACTGTCTGTTCTCTCTTTGACATGTTGTTAGTCACAAAATGCGTTGCTGTTATTCCTTCCTCGTTAACTCTGTGATTCTATACTAACACACTGAAAGTTTTCATCTATGTAGTACCACAATCACGCAACGTTAATATTGCTGTCTCAATCGACTTTCCTCCAAACAGGTTGCTGTTACAACGTTTGCAGTCTACGTCCTCACAGGCAACAGTCTCACCGCCTCCAAAGCGTTTGTGGCGTTGTCGCTCTTTGGAATTTTGCGTTTTCCTCTTGGTTTCTTTCCAGATGTGATTGCAACTTGCATACAAGTAGGTCGGAAAAGGAGCAATGTTGTTGTGATTGCTCCTATATAAGGTCCAAAGTAACTATTTTATGACTCCTGCTCTATTTAATTGTTTTCGTCTTGCTCCTGTTTTCGTTCATCTTAATAGTGGTACTTCCTTTGAGTAAATATGAATGAGACTTAGCCTCGCACCTCCGAAGTTAGCATTTCGAGAATATTTAGCTAGGATGTTAGAATGGACAAGACACGAAACGCAATTAAAGTAACGAATCATCTTGGCGGTGTAAAGCCCCTTTACTTCTAATGTTATTAAGTTATATTATTATATAATGCAGATTTTTTACACTTTCCCTTACTCCTTTTCTTTTCTTTTTCTTCCTAAGGCACGGGTCTCGGTCAAGCGTTTGGAGAAGTTCTTAGATTCAGAAGAACTGGACCCCAACAATGTTCTGAGGACGTCACGTAAGAACAATGTAATGTAGTGGGTATTTCCGTGACTTGCAAAGATTTAGCACTCGTTCCGCTGATCGATGCGTTCGCCAATAGGCCACACAAATGACTCACCCAGTGATTTGGGGAGGCAAACCTATTCGTAAAATAAATCACCAGAAATGACTAACAGACAAACTGACCGACAATTTTAAGCCATTATAAATACATATAAAGACAGCGTTTCCTTGAGTAGAGAATGTACGAAACGCGTGAACGCTCAAGGCCTTGTCTATCTTATTTCTATCTTTAACCAAAATATAGGGTCAACTGATGGTACCGGAACCGCAGTGAGCATATGTGCATCAACTTGTACCAATACTGCCAGTAGACAATTTTCCTAGCCTTGACATATCTTCATTATTCCTGAGGCATGCAAGCTTTCCATATTTAATGACTGTAATTCGAAGTAAAGGAGGCTAACCTTAAATTTAAAGCAACGAGTAAAGAACTAACACAGACTCCCCTTAATCTCTCACTTAGCAACACAGCTTACTTCGGAAATGATTGGCGTCAAAAGTGGTGTATTTGGGTGGAATAGAAAGGATGCTCCTAAAATTCATGGGTAAGATAGCATTACAGAGAATTAATAAAAAGGCGAAAATCAAATATGCAATTTTCTGGAAAATGTTTTTAGTCTTAGTTATGAAAGAAACATCTAGAGGCTAACCGAAAAAATACGAAGAACACTAAGGGTACGGATGTAGAGAGTTTGAATGAATTGCCATGAGTTTTTCAATTTTTACGGAGTTGAAAGAATGTTGGTAATTTGAAGGTGCACGAACTGTTGTATAGGTACTCTAAGTTATCTTGTAAACGTCTTCTGTCAACTGTCCCATTGTTCTTCTCCTTTATTCTGTTTTCGTTCTTGGTTTTTTCCTGTCTATCTGTTTGTCTATCTATCTGTCAGGCTGGCAGTCTGTTTCACTTTGGGTCAGATTGTTTAGGACGACAATATAGCCGTTAAACTGGATAAACATGACCTACTTTAAGTCAGTAAATTTCTCTGAGTAGTGTAGTGTTTCCTTAGCAATAGATCGTGTGGATATCACACTGAACACAATCCAAGGCCCATTACGATAAATCTTTGAGTGAGAACGACTTACCGCTTGATAAAAAGCGATAATTCGTGAAGGGCTTAACTGCATGTAGCATATTTATCATGATATGCATCGCTTTGGAATAACACTTAATTTATATAAAGACATCCCCTTATTGGCAATTTACTCTGTCACATTTTTAACACATATTTTATTGTCGCTTTTTATTGTTTCAGTGTCAACCTAAACATTCCAAAGGGCTCGCTTGTTGCAGTCGTTGGTCAAGTTGGATGTGGGAAATCTACTTTACTTTCCTCTCTTCTTGGAGAAACAGAGAAGTTAAATGGAACCGTTTTTGTTGACGTGCGTAATGTATTTTATCTCTTAGGAATGATTACCTCCTTTCAATTTAGGTAACTTAAAATACATAGTTAATTTTGAGCTCGCTGTCTTCAGGTCCCCTAACTCAAAAAGAGAGAGATAGCGTATATGATGTGGACTTATAGATTAAAAGTCGTTTAATAAAGTGTTCGATATTTTTTCTCACAGGGATCTGTGGCATATGTTTCCCAGCAGGCCTGGATACAAAACGCCACCATACGAGACAATATCTTGTTTAATAAGGCCATGGATCCCGCTCGTTATGAGCAGGTTATTCACTCGTGCGCCTTGAGAAGTGATTTGAGAATTCTTCCAGCTGGTGACTCAACAGAAATTGGAGAACGGGTGAGAAGCAATCTTATTATAATTGGTTAAGATCTTTACTATTCTATCTGTTTTAATTATAATATAGTTTATATCTGACCACTTGCAGCCTGAGGCTGAATTACGGGTGCGGTTTTAAGGTTGAGAACAGACGTCAGCATATCAGGCGCCTCTGGCAGCCGCTTCAGTCCATCGATCTCACCTTCCAATCCATCCCACCCCAGGGGAGGACATCCATCACACAGTAATCTCGTGTGTGGGAAATTAACGTCTCCTACCCCAACCCTGCAGGAGACGGGACCTCCATTTATTCGTCGCTATCCGAGAAGACTAGAATATCTAACCATTTCCTGATGTTATAGAAAGGCAGCAAATTCTTTTCAATTATTTTAAGACCTTGTGTGTTGGACCGGCCGGGGCTCGAACCCTCGACCTCCCGCACAACAGTGCAGTGCACTATCCATTGGGCTAACTGGGCGGCGGCATTGATGCTACAGTCGTCCATATCACCGAGAGACATGAATAATAATGCCGCTGATACATTCTTCAAGTTATTTCTAAATTATTGTTCTCGTTCTCAGAAAAAAATTACTTTAAATATAACAGGGTATCAACCTCAGTGGTGGACAAAAACAACGAGTGAGTCTGGCACGAGCTGTTTATTTTAACGCTGATATCTACCTACTAGATGATCCACTCAGTGCTGTGGACGCCCAAGTTGGACGAAAGCTATTTCAAAATGTCATCGGACCTAATGGATTGCTTAAAGACAAGGTGAACTGGAAATGAGCATCTGATTATGTATTCTGCTTATCTCCCTTAAGTCTGTTCAATGTTACCAGTTCGATATAAACTTACAATTGACCTGTTTGGAGTCAGAAGTCAACACAAGGGTGTTAATGCTTTGAGTCCAATATGGTTGATTAGCTTGGCTCAAAAGAAAGTCAAGCTAAGACTCTGAGTACCCTACACAGGTCTGATTTATTGCATAGGTATCTATTCTTTAAGTAATCGAAATGGTTGCGGAAATCTTATGCGGCTTTTGTTTGATTTTCACATCGCCATTCAAGAAAAAAGCAAGATATTTCTTACATATTTCCTCGAAAACCACCAAAAATAAGATCAAGAAGGACTGAAGCTTTATTCTCTGTAGTCAGTCTCTTAGCTTGATCCCATCCTGGGTATCTGTATGAATTAATGATGGCTCTTTTTCTTGGAAATTTAACAAAAACATGGTGAATTACTATAAAATTTTAGATGACCATTAAGCAAGCTCATGCATTTGTGCTGGCCCTCAGCTACTTACTGACACTCACTGAGTGTCCTATGGTACGACTCATAATGACACTCAGTTTCGTCAGCCTCGTGTTTAGTTTGGGTGCCAGTGACCTTTACACATTAAGGAAATAATATAATTTATACGTATTGTTGTACTATGATTTTATGGTGTAAATAAATTTTTGTTGTTGCTTTTGATGCGTTTTCTTCTTAAAGATGGCCCAATTTTCCAAAATGCAACTGTAAATTTTCACTGTCATTTCTCATTACTCGCCAGACTCGAATCTTTGTCACTCATGGCATCAACTATTTACCTCAAATGGATCACATCATCGTTCTTCAGGACGGCTTTGTTTCAGAGGTATGCTCTTCTGTAAACATTTCCATCAAGCGGTCAATTGTTTTAAGGTCAGGATTATTTGACATACATTTTCTTTGTGTCCTTGTTGTTTGGCTTCTTTTTAGGAAGGTTCATACACTGAACTTCTGGAAAACTCAAGTGCCTTTGCTGATTTCCTACAAGCTTACACATCAGAGGAAAACTCTGGTCAGTATCCAAAACTATATTTGAATTCGATACTTTTTTCTACTTCGTCAAGCTGTTGCACGCTTCTAAAGCAACACTCAGTGCTGTCATGCAAAGTCGTGTGAAAATTGAAAGAAGTAAGGGCTCGTTGTTTATTTACAGCTTAATTTCACATCTTTCTTCTTTATTAAAAGGAAATTTTTTCCCTCTCTTTTCCACGATAGTTGTTTTGGTATATACTAAACAGTGAGATAATTTAGAAGAGAAAGATGATTTTAACTCTTATGTTCCTCGGAGGTTGCTCGAAGGTTGCTCGGAGGCGAATAGCAAAGGAGATTCGGAGTTTGAATGGCCAATCACAGTGTCCCTTCAACGCCATTCGCCGTTTTAGTGTATACTAATCACCATCGTCGTTATCCGTTATCATGAATTATGACATAACGTTAGCACAATCAAAGTTTTAATCATATCATTACCTTTAACATCGTGTTGATCACTGAATGCCCTGCTACTAGAAACGGATGTTCATGATGAAAATGAAACCGACGAGGTGCTTCAAGAAAGCAGAAAAGGGATACAAACCTCCCTGAAGGGCTACCAGCATAATCAAGGACGTAATGATAGAAATACCGGAAAAACAATAACAGAGGAAATATCAGAGACTGGAGGAGTAAGTTTTGCATTTTTTTATTAATTAACACCGCCAGTTAAGCGCTCGACTCTTCATATATAAATAACTTTATAACTTTATTATTTATATAAAATATATGAGTATATGATCCAATGTGCTTTCCTTGAAAGAGAAAAATACGTTACTCCAAAACAGTAATGATCTATCTTTTGACATAAATTTTCTCGCCCGAGTAATTATCTACTGCAGTAAATACAATTTTCCGTATCTATAATTAAGATCTGTTGAGTCAAATCTTACTCCTGTAGGGATTATAAGGCTCCTTCATATTTTCTGTATGTGCAGTTGGCTTAGATGTCAGAAATGGAATTTCATCCCTCTGCCTAACAGTGTTAATTTTTTCATTGATTTTGTTAACACGAATTCTCGGGAGGGCTAAAAATTATTAGCAAAGTGTCTCTTCTGAACATTTTTGCTTATAATATTCGATTCGGCCCACAGATAGACTTCCGTTATAAAAAAAGTGCTCACCAGTTAAGAGAGATAAATGCTTTGGAATCCTTTTGCTTTATAAAGAACAGTTTTCGACCTTCCCCGAGCACAATATCGACTTTCTGCATCCTTACATATCTTGTTTGATCTGAATTCTGGACTGTTTGTGTCTACTACCCATGTCCTTAGGATTGGCTCATGTGTCCAAAAGGGGGACTTAGTTTTCAATAAAAATGAATACCAGTGCCCAACGATCTGTTTTTATTTTCTAACAGGCAACGTTGTCCTTATTGTTTTCTTACATCAAGTCCTCTGGCATACACTGGTTTTTTCTCTCTTTGTTCTTTTTCATGGTTATGGAAGCGAGTTCTGTGGCCACAGGAGTATGGTTAGCCTACTGGAGCGCAGCAAACATTACAACAAACCATCAAAGGGACTTTTATCTATTAATCTATGGAAGCATCGGATCGGGTCAGACCCTCTTTACCGTTTTTTACTCCTTGGCGTTATTTATTGGGGCGATTTGAGCTTCCCGAATACTCCATCGCAAATTAATCGTGAACGTCTTGCGGTTACCAATGATGTTCTTTGATACGACACCGATTGGAAGGATTATGAACCGGCTGTCCAAGGATATTTATGGCATTGATGTGACAATTCCATTATCTCTGAAGTCGTTCTTACAGATGTTTTTCGATGTTCTTGGGATGCTGGTAGCTGTTAGTTACGCCACGCCACTTTTTCTCACCGTTGTTCCTCCTTTGGGTGCCCTCTATTTTTACATACAGGTGGGATGAAGACTTGAAATATATATTTCAACTTTTTCTTCCTCTCGAACTTAAGGGAAACTCACTTCAGGATCCTTCAATACGCGCAAATAAGAAAAAGCAAATGCAGCTAGAGAAGGAAAAGAAAAAGTGTCCTCTGAACAATTAAACATTTCGAGTTTTCCTTTCGTTACTTAAATACGTCGCAAAGAAGGATGGGATTATTTTATGCAAAACTCGTATTTTCAACAATCTTCTTTCTGCTTTATTTCTTTTTTTTTTTTTTTTTGCTGTTGCAATAATGCAACTGTTGGTAACAATTGTTTTCTCTCCCTTCCTATTCAGTATTCCTAATCAGGCTCAAGAATAATTGTCGCAATATCTTATTTCATCCTCCACATTCAGTTCAACTGTGCGAATCGATTAAAGTACTGAACATGTATTTGCACGCAGACAATATTGTTTCGTTTACGGATACAATGATTTCAGAGCTGACGGTATAGTATAGTTGCTAATTGCGTGACTGTTCTCCAAGCTGGAACGCAGGTTTCAATGTTGGATGCACATCACACGTCTTGATTTCTGCCGTTTAATTAATTTACTGGTTATTTCACTAGAGAGTATACGTAGCTACATCAAGACAGCTGAGAAGAATCGAGTCAGTAAGCCGATCACCAATATATAGTCACTTCCTGGAGACCATCACCGGTGCCAGCACCATACGGGCTTTCTCACAACAGCAGCGCTTCATCCGGGATAATTACCGGAAATTAGACGAAAATCAAGTAGCACATTACTTGGCTGTCACCGCTGAAAGGTAAAGAGATGAATGCTGTTGCAATAATCTATATATATATTTTATAACAAGAATCCATTTCACAGATAAGCATGAAATTGCGTTTTACAGGCTTCATCCATTAGCAACAGTTTTATTAGCATAGGAAAATAATTAGTCTTCTCTGAGTAACCTTAAGCAGATTATCAAACTGATCCTTTTTCCCTTTTGTAATTCTTTAAATGGCTTCACGAGACTGCATGCGACCTAAACCGCCGTTGCCAATCTTATTTTTCAAGTATAAACTTTAATGACTTATCTCATGAGGCTAATTTTGCTATTTAATGCGGTAATTTAAGGAAGGAGTTTTTTTTCATCCTTGATGTAACTTTGATATGATTTGGGATGTACACCACAAGCAACTACGATTTGCACCTTCACTTGTTTTAGGGGAACGAGCTGATCATCTTTAATGCCAACATACATGAAAACAGCTTGTTCTCAGAGACGGAAATCGAAATGATGGCCTGAACTATTGGAGTATGTAACACCATAGTTAGATTCAGAAGAGAATGAAACTGTTTCGACATTATTTTTTTACAGATGGTTATCTCTTCGTTTGGAATTCATTGGCAATTGCCTGATTCTCTTTGCGGCCTTATTCGCTATTATTAGCCGGGACAAAATCAGTGGAGGTCTTGTAGGACTGTCTGTAACCTATGCAATTCAGGTAATCAAACGGAACGGCTTTACTTCCTCAAAGCCAAAAGGATGAAGGAAAAAAAAAACCTTCATCATGACCGACCCTTACTTTAAATTCTTAGGTGCCTGTAAGTTTGTCGACAAAAGCTCGTGCGACAAGTGTGTTCGCACGTAACAGTTTCGATAAAATGCTTGATTGCAGATATAAATATGTTCCATTAAGATAGTAAACATATAAAGAGAACAAAGTTAGTATGGTAAACTGGGTAAAGGGAAAGCGTTCAGAAGCTTTGCAAGATAAACCACCGTTTCTTATTTTATTTTGTTTAATCAACTTAATTCTAGTCTCTATAATTGCTAGAAAAACGTGACTTTCCTGTCCTATTGATGTTCATTTTTACTCTGATCCAATCGGTGTCGTAGATAACTCAAAAACTAGCCTGGATGATAAGAATGTCGAGTCAACTGGAAACAAACTTAGTATCAGTTGAGAGGGTAAAGGAGTATTCTGATACCCAGACAGAGGTGAGTGAAAATGAAATCAAAATCAAATCGCGCGAAGAAGAGCAACAACGTGTTGAAACAATTTACTAGATCTTGCAATTGGCGGTGAATGACTCTTTACGTCTTACGTAGGACGACTATATGAGGCTACTAAATTAAGCAGAATTTCCTGGATATTTCCATTGAGATATAAACCAATTCACTTCACGTATTGGTTGACGGTACTTCTGATTTTTCTCATCGAACGACAATGGAAGTATTTAAACATAGATATTTGTCCAAACAGTTTTGTAAACTAGGTGAATCATTTTTTTAGGAGACACATGTACCATTTAAAGTCCGTGAAAATGTTAAAGGTAGTTCCTATGTTATCAGAATTTTCTTTCCAAACGACCTTCGTACTACAAAAGATTTTCTCACTAGCGCAAGACAAGGATATACATTTGCCAGATGAACCTTCAAAAAAGTTCCAGATCCCTCTCAGTTTCATTCTTCTCTACTTCTGGATATTTTAAGGCGAAGTAGTATTTAAATTTGCCACTTCTGTGATCAAGATATTAAATTATGCATGTATATCATTTAAGAATAAATATTAGCGAGAAAAACACACAACGTTTCGATGACTCTATGTCATCATTCTCAAGTGAGAAGAGAATAAAAATGAATAGCTAATTTATACCGTACGAAGGTGACAAACGTAAAAAGTTAAAAATTTTTCAAAATTTGAATAAATAATTGCGCGTGTTGAGTTCATAAATGTAAACTATTAAATAAATAGTTTCGCGCGTATGGAATCTGATTGTTTGTTCAAAGATGATGTTTAC